TTAGGGGGGGGGGGGGGGGGGTTGAAAATTAGGCAGTTTTTATTGAATAAAAATTAATCCAGTATTGTAGTATGATTAATATTTTAAAATGTTATTGTACAAATCTTTAGTAATTTAGTTATATTTTAACATTGTGCATTTTTACTCAGTAGGATTTTCTGTTGCCTTCCGTCATAAAAAATTATGCAATTATGAAATGTGTATAATTATGGTTTAATTAATATAATGTGATGAAATATGTGCTTATTGTTAAGTGTAAATTATGTAATATCTATTGTATTAAAATGTGCTATTTTAGTTGTATCTATATATGAAATGTTAAGAAAAATGTAAAAAATTATAAGTGTTGAATGAGCACTATAGCGCCCACAGATTACATGCCACAACGTTGTCATCTACAATATCATAGTGCCTAATTTAAACATTACATCACTGACTACTCTAGAATTTAAGGAAAATTAGTAACCCGACAAAGCCAAGGTCAACGCCATAGCTCTACATATCGCTGCAGCATCGAAAATCCACACTGTAACACCTATGTCCCAAGAATTTGAATGTTGGAGCATCAATCATCAAACATTGCAATGCCAGATTACACATTGAAGCACCACAATAGAGTAGTTGATGAAAGATGTACCATACCGATTCAGCCAACATACACTTCAATTCAACCAACATACATGTTGTCATAACCCAACCGACCAAGATAGGTCCTATCACATTAAGCTGTGACAGACAAATCTCAAGATCTAATTTTAGAATTGTTCAAATTCTCTTCTACTATTCATTTGAAATAAACTATAGAATATAGAGCTACTGAAACATCTAAATATTGAAAATAAACTCATTCATCATGTTTCTTTTATTTTATCAAAATATATATACACTACAGTACATGACTACATGTATAAGCTATATAATTGAATAATAAACTAACCATGAATGTACAAAAATCAAAATAAAAAAAAATACCTTTAACTTAATATATGATCCTGAAATGCTAATTTATAGTCTCATTCCCTTTTCTAGATCCTAAAAACCAGAAGAAAATCATAGTGAAGTATAACAACTCACCATTCCATACAAACCAATCTAAAGTTTTATATTCTTTTATTAAATTTTGATGAATATTTAAAAGGAGTTAAATGAAATCTAATAACTTATTATTTAAAAGAATATAAATACAATCTAATAACTTATTATACTGAGAAATATAATAAGAGCATATCAGTTATTGAATTATTTAATAATAATTTTGAGCAAATAAATTATAATGCATATCATAGGGTAGTTCATATCTCGTTTCCCATATCCAAAAAGAATCTCACATGATTCTGACCCCTTATGACTTCTTTTTGATTGATAACATGAGAACACATCATATATCTCTATCTTAAATAGAATCTCAAAGGATTTTGGGCTCTTATAGCTTCTAGTTGTTACCTGACACAGATATAATTTTAGAGGATTCTAATCTCTTATGGCTCACATGAGATATAATTTAATCACATATGTACATATATAATCATATTATAGAAATTAAAGAGTAATTGAGCATGTATCAAAATTACACACTTCTATAATGATATAGATAACATAAAATTCTACTAAGAAAAAATGCACATTTAAAAAATAATCAAATTACGAGGGATTGTGTAAAATAACTTTTATGACTTTTATCGTACTACAACACTATTTTTTAGAATCAATATAATTTTCTATTCAATAAAAATTTCACAAATTTTAAAACCCACATTATAAAATTTCTAGAAAATAGTCAAAATGTACATAATAATAATTTATATAACATATAAAATTTACATTATGAAAATTTTACTAGTGCAAAGTTATTCGTATTTTTCACTAACAAAATAGTAATTTGATAAAAAAATTAGATAAAAATTTGATATTTTTAAAAATTGAGATAGACGCAATGTCACCTACCTCTAGATAAACAAATTTTCTAACTGGGCTGCCATATGAAAATGACTCAAAGTCGATGAAAACTAAATTTTCCCCCTTCTCTCTTCTCTCTTTCTCTTATTTTTTTCTCAAATACTCTCTATTAATGAAAATCAAAAGACAAAAGGCTTCAAAAAGATTTTTTTGCATTAGTGGAAATTATTTTATAATAAGATATTATTATTTTAATTATTTAATTTTAATTTCAATATAAAATTCATCTAAATTCTTTTATCTTAAAATCTAGTAATCCAAAAATTATTGAAAAATATTCATAAATTAGCTAATCATGTCTGAAACATTTTGGTTAAATTGGTTTTCAAAACGGACACTTAAGGGTCTCAAAAATATCACTTATATCAACATGTGTTAATTTCTTAAAAAATTTCAACAAGGCCCCAAAATTATGAGAACATAGGGTCACTACATTATATATGTTCTGATGAAGACGGTTTATGATTTGAATTTATAAGAACTTCTAAAATAATTAATGATTATGTTAGGTCAAAAAATTTTAAAAGTAATTAAGGGATTTCAAAATCTACCCACCTTAATAAAAATATCATCCTCAATATTTCCAAACTAGAAAGAGTTCGAATAAACCTAAACACAACTCTCATATTAGTTTCCTTCTCTAAGTAGTATCTCTGGCGATCTTGTGCTTCCACTACATGTTGACTTTAGGAATCTATTAGCTCCTTAATTCTCTCACATTATATGGCAAAATCCTTTCGGGTTTTTTCCTATAGTCTAAATTTGGATAAACCTTAATATTATCAGTAGATATTCTCTTCCCAGAATCAAATACCCACTTTCTCAAAGATGATATATGAAATATACTATGTATATCATACATATGATCTAGTAATAATAACATATAAACAGAACTCTCAATCCTCTCACTGATCTTAAAAGGTCTAATGTACCTTAGATTGAGCTTGCTAATTCTCTCAAATTTATCGACACATTTCATAGGGCTGACTTTGACATAATTAAGTCATTAATTTGAAACTCAACCAACTTGTGTTTTTGATCCTAGTACTTCTTCTACATATCTTTTACATATTTTAACCTTATTCTGATCAAATGAATCTTTATTGTAGTGTCATCAATAAAGGCTAAACCTATCACTTATCTACATCCCACCTCTATCAAAGTCAAAGGAGCCATGCACTTCTTGTCATATAGAGCTTCATAAGGAGCTATAACTATACTAGATTGATAACTTATTATATGCAAAATCTATCAATGGGATATAATCCTCCCAACTGCCCCCAAAATCTAAAATATGTAGTCTCAAAAGATCCTCCAGCATCAGAATAGTCCTTTCAGACTGTCCATGTTTCTATGAATGAAAAGCTATATTGAAGTGCAACTTTATACCCAATCCCTATTAAATATCTCTCTATAATTTGGAGATAAACCTACCATCCCGATCAGATATAATCACCTTCGGTATATCGTGCAACTGATAGTATCTTTAATATATATACGTGCTAACCTATCCAGCGAATCAATCTACCAAATCAAAATGAAATGAACAGACTTCACTAGTCGATCGATAATAACCCATATAACATCACGCCCCTACCTCAATATGGGAAAACCCATAACAAAATCAATCATCATCTCTTCTCATTTCTACTCCGAAATAGGTAACGAATGCATAAGACCTCCCAATCACTAATACTTTGCCTTCACTAGTTGACAAGCTTCACACTTCGATACAAACTCTGCCATGTCCTTCTTCAATCTAGGCCACCAAAACATACCCTTCAAATCTTCGTATATCTTGTTGCTTCCTGTATGAATAATACAACCTAAAAAGTGAGTCTCATGAAAAATCTCATGTCTCATATCTCCAAAATTAGGAATCCATAGTCTATTCTTACATAAAATAATACTAGAATCAGAAACTTATAGTTCAGATTTCTTACCAGATTTAATCTGATCAATCAACTTTGGATATTATCCATCTAACTTTTGATCTTCCAAAACTTTTTCTCACAATGAAAGCTGAATGATCATTTAAGCCAATACAAGAATCTCAATTAGTAGAAGAAATTACCTCTAGTTGTAATCTCTCCATATCTCATAACTAATACTCCTCAAAAGGGAGCTGTATATATGATAATCCATAAGACTTACTACTTAGACCATCTGCCACCACATTAATCTTTTCAGGCTGATATTGAATAGTCGGATCATATTCTTTTATTAACTCAAGCCATTTCCTTTGCCTTAGGTTCATATCTTTTTGAGTGAATATGTACTTCAAAATCTGATGATCAGTAAAAATCTCACATTAGACATTATGCAAATAGTGTCTTCAGATCTTCACAGAAAAAACTACAACAACTAACTCCAAATCATGCATCACATAGTTCCTCCCATGTGATTTTAACTGTTTGGAAGCATAAGCTATAACTCTATCATGCTGCATTAAAACACACATCATCACTGGATACCTAAAATACTTTGATACCAGATTAATGAGCCCAAAATTAGAACAAAAGTCAAATAATTATTCAATCACTAGAAATTAGCCTTGCACTCTAGTGTCCAGATAAAAGCTACTGACTGCTGAGTCAGTCTCGTTAGAGGTGCAGAAATTTGAGAAATCCTTTCACAAGCTATAATTTATATTAAATTTATAAACTTATGTTAGAATTAAATTTATATTAAATGTGTAATATAAATTAAGAACTTTAACATTAGCATATTTAATCATATGTAAAATATATTTAAACATATAACACAAAAATTAGCATGTTATTATAAGTATAAATTCTTATAATTATGAGATTTAAATTTTTTTGCTATTATATAAGATTTTAAAATTTATTTTTTACTTAATTACATAAGTTTTATGCTTTATATTTTTTATTTCATTTAGTTTTTTTCTAATATTTGAAATGATAAGATTATTATTATTATAATTTTATTAAATTTTAATAATATTATTATTTATTATGACATCTAATTCGACGTCGATTTCACTAGCTATTTTTTTGTTGGTTATGTGGTCCAATTATCACAACTTTGATTTTGATTAGTTTTACTCGTTTTAGCCTAAGCCTACAGTTTGCTTTTCCCCTTCATTTCTTTGTTGCTGTTCTGCTTCAGCTCCTTGTAGCTGTTCGACTTCGCTCCGGCGTTCCCTTCCCGTTGGATCGGATGTTACGACATTTTGATCGGAAGCAAAGACGGGAGCTCGCTCGCTGTGAAGTAACTTTCTCCCTTTTCGCGCGTTTCTTCAGTCAAATCCCGTAAATCCGCCGAATAGAGGATTTCAGAAATCCGGGATTTACCACGAAAAGGGGTTTTGATTTACCGTGAGATTTGGTTTTGCATTTTAGGCCGTTTGGCTGGATTTCGCTCAAATCCGGCAATCCTGCTACCAAACAGCCCCTAAGCGCAAGTGTGGTAAAGGTATGCAGGCGTCTTAAGAAAATTTTAAAAAGTTAATTTTCCTCATCGTTTCTATTCTATGTATATGCTTTTTCCAGGTTTTGTTGGACTTTAGAAGTGCTTTGCCGATTTAATGGTATTTTGTCTGATCCCACAGCCATGAAATATTGCTATTTATTGTATTTTTTTGGGAAGATTTGCTGCTTTTTTGGTGATGCATATGGAACTTATTTGTATGCAAATTTAAAATATTTTAGGTCAAGTTAGAAGATTGTACAGATAATGGAGTTTCTCCAAATGGTGAGGCTGGTGTTAATTCTTCGATTGGTGCTAGTTCTTCTGGATCGATACCATGCTCTGTGCCTGTTGTAGTGAAGGAGGTAATGGTAATTTTCAGTCTTAGTTTTCCATTTATTTAAGCTTTGAGATTGTAATTTTACGTTCTTAGTTTTTGTCTTCTAACTCAGTTTTTTTATACGCACATTTTTTGGTCTTATTTCTTATGCATTTTGCATCTTGTAGCCTTTTGTTCTTCTAATTACTGCATGAACTTGTAAAATTAGTGAACTTTTTCCATGAAGGACAGAAAACTTCTTAGATTTTTCATTAATTGAAAGTATTGCACAAAACAATTATATATAGGCAAGCATGAGGCCTATTATAGATAAGAGGGCATAAGACCGTTGCAAATTGATTCCACAAAGGGAGCTTGTAAATGTTTAGTTAAAGAAGACCACATGTAATGCTTGAGCTTATGATCTCTATCCTGAGCACTATGGAGCATATAGTTTTAGTTGGTGCTCTTTGGTTGGTAAAATTGAATCTTCATTTTTCTAATTAGATTGAACAATGTGCTGAACAATATAAATGTAAATTTTAAACTTGTAATATCTTTTATTTTGATAATACTAAATTTAAAAGAAAGGAACCTGTGCCGCCTGTGAAAGCTTTACTTAATTGCACCCATTCTTGGTATGTAAACGACTGAGCCTCATGCAAAGGGCAGTTCTCACTTTTTGGAATCCAACCAAATTTGTTCAATTCTTTTAAATGAGTCACACATCTTTATAATTAGGCCATTTCCAAATTATGAAGTTGCCTTTTATGGTATGACCTTGGAATTTGTGATATATGCATTATATCTTCATTTGTGATTATCATGTTATTCATCTCTAATGAACTAAAATTAGTACCACATACAACCCTAAATACGGTGAATGACATAATGATTAGAAAGCCGATCTATAATTGTTATGATAAGCTTAGTGATGATGATGATGGTTTGTCTCTCAAGGACATAATATAGTTATTTCTGAAGACCATACCTAATGGCTGTGTTAGTTCAATTCCATTCGTTTTCAACAATAAGCAGTTGATTCTAATTGGATGACTAGGCCTAAGGCCAATAGTGTCACACCCCGGCAACACGGGATGCGATGAAGGGATATAAAGATCTGTTTTATATTCACAAAGAGAAACATGTATATCCAATATACAACATAATATATACACCAAAGTAACCATAGAAAGTGAAGATTAAATTTTTAATTCATTAATTAAATTCAAATAAACAGTACATCCAAATAATAATACTGATACAAGCAAATTAAATGTAAATAGGATGGATGATAGGAAAGAAACAACACAACCCTCATAATAAAAAGCAAAAGAAATTACTACAAAATATAAAAGATAGAAAATAATCTATTCCTGAAAACTTTGCTCCTGATGCGGCGGTTCGCTAAACACACATGTAGGATCTGGTGTAAAAAGAGACAACGAATGAACTTGATACATCAACTCACTAAGTAACTCCTATCTATCAATGTATAAAGAACAAAGGATTTTTTTTTTGATACATCAACTCACTAAGTAACTCCTATCTATCAATGTATAAAGAACAAAGGATTTTTTGGTTTGGGGGGGGGGGAGGGGGAGTAGCGACCTGTAGTCACTATACCAAAGTAGCAATGTCATATGCCATATTTCCTACAACAGATTCTATTGTACTAATGATAATAATGTATATGACAAACTGCTATCAATGTCAAATCATTTTAATTCTTATAAATACAACCATATTATGTATCATCATACCTCAAAATGATGTATTGTCATTTATTGTTTTCAATTCATGTCCAATTATATTTTCATTCACTTGTTCATTTCTAATTATTTTTGGTTTATTAAATACACATCACTAGGATGGTAAACACCAACCCTAGGAAATCCAGTGATTTCTTATAGAGTCGTCACTTTGGATATTCGTCGTCCATGACTAGCCAATATCCAATAGGGTTATACCTACAGACACATCAGTGCACAAAAGCATATTATTTTCCAAAAAAATTCATAAGCATTTTTCAATAGGTTTTATAGTTTCAACTTGAGAAATGTTATTTCATACTAAGATATGATTTGCCAACATAATCATTTATTGCATTCAATAAGAGCACAGGCGTAGCAACAACAACAACGACGAGCCTCTATCCCTCTATGTGGGGTCGACTGCCTGAATCTTTTTTCTCCATTGTGTCATATTAAGAGTCAAATTCTCATCTAAATCTAATAAAGAAAGGTCATTTTTAATATTTCCTAACCATGTCTTTTTAAGTCTACCTCTACCTTAACACAAATCAAATCTAATACATCTACTTTCCTGATGAGGTCATTAGAAGGCCACCGTTTTATGTGACAAAATCATCTAAGTTGACTCTTTCTATTCTTATCTTCCATTGGAGCTACTCCAACCTTTTCATGTATATGCTCATTTCGTATCCTGTTTCTATGAGTATAGCCACTCATCCACCCGAGCATCCTCATCTCTGCAACAATTAGCTTAATACTATGCTTCTCTTTTAATGGCCAACATTTTGCACCATAAAGCATTGCAGGTCTCACTACCATCTTATAGAATTTTCTTTTAAGTTTGAGAGGGACTTTTCTATCACAAAACAAACCAGAAGCATCCATCCACTTCAACCATCCAATTGAATTCTACTAATAATATCCCCATCTATTTCACCATCACTCTGAATAATAGACCCAATATATCTAAAACATGTACTCTTATTCATGACTTTATATTCCAAAGTCACAATCCCCCCACTAGATATATTATTATTAAAATTATACTCCGTATATTCAGTTTTAGATCTATTCAAATGAAAGCCTTTAGACTCTAAGATTGACCTCCACAACTCAAGTTTACCTTCAACTCCCTCTCTAGTATTATCAACAAGAAGAATATCATAGCAAAAACTACACACCAGGGTACAACATCTTGCAAATGTCTAGTGAAAACATCCATGACCAAAGCAAAAAGATATGGGCTTAAGGCTAGTCCTTGATGTAAACCAACTAAAATAGGAAAATACTTGGTTAAACATAAAATTTGATATATAAGAGTTTATGAAGTAATAAATCAAGAATAATCTATTTATGAATCTTCCTAATTCATTTTGAGCATATGTGTAAAATAAAAGAATCTACAATGACAAGATTGACAATTTAATATCCAAATGTTTAGCATAAGAAACAAGAATAACGCCCCTAATAAAGAAATGCACATTATCCCAAAATAAATAATAATTTGATGTGTTTTGAAAGTAAAAAATAGCAAGTAGAAAGGAAGAAAATTGCAGGAATAAAATATTATGACTAATTTTTGGGTTATCTCTTCAATAATAATGAAAGATACAAGTGATATACTATTCGAGAGGTAGATCAACTCTCCCACTAATCCTAGACGCCGCTAGGAAACTCACAACAAACCCTAGAATAAACTTCGGCAAAATATAACTTCCAAACTCTTAAATAACTCTAACACACAATGCAGACAACAAACATTTCTAATTAGCGTAAACACAACCAGAAAGTTTTTCTAAACAATTAAACCCTTCCTAAAAAGCATAAACAACAACAACAACATCAAGCTTTTATCCCATTACGTGGGGTCGGCTACATGAATCCTTTTTCTCCATTGTGTCCTAAAAAGCATAAACACAATTAGGAAATTTTCCTAAATAATTAAGTCATTTTAAAACAACATAAACACAATTTGGAAACCTTCCTAAACATCTCTTCCTTGATTAGGAACTTTCTTAGATAGCTCCCCCTTGATTAGAAATCTTTCTAAACAATTCTCCTTAGTTAGGAACCTTACCACACAACTCCCCCTTGATTAAGAACCATCCTAAATAGCTCACCCTTGATTAGAAACCTTTAGAGACAGCTCCCCTCTTGATTAGGAACCTTCCTAAATAGCTCTCCCTTACTGTTGTGGGCCCCCTACCATATCAATATTCCCCTCCAAAGATGCACCTTGTCCTCAAGGTGGAAGGATGTGAACTGTCTCCAGATCATCTCATATGGCTCCCATGTGGCTTTGTACTCGGCAAATCCTTCCACTTGATAAGTACCTTTTGAACAATAAACTCAGGATGTTGAGAATGAATTGGTTGCTTGTTGTTGAGGGGAGAAAAATGTATGATGCACTTGTGCATAATAGACTTGGCTGGGACATCATCTCGATGAAAGATGTAAAGGAGCTTTCTAGTATCTCTAGCCTGCAAGTTTCCCCGCCTTTTTTCTCAGCTTCTTCAATCACAACCTCTATTAACTCATTGATTGCAATCCTTTTAAAATCGTCTGGGCCAGAATAGTCCAGACAAAGCAAGTTAGCTGTATAGAAGAACCCGTGATCCTTTCCACATATAGCACTTTTTCAAATCTTACACTAATTTTGGATGATCCATTTTCTTCGAATGTCAAAATTACTTTACTATGAAAGCCATAATGTGGACCTCTCTGAGATGGAAAAGGTAGCCCAGAAGAACGCATCGTACCTACATATTTTACTCTATCACCTTTGAATGTGCAATTCTTTGAAGAAGCTGTTGAGGACTCCTGCTTTAGCAAGGAATGACAATTTAAACTAGATGTTCCCACAATATCAGCTTCAACTCTGGAAGTTGGTCTTCTAATATGAAAAGTGTCAGCTAATGTAGATTTCTGCTTAGTAAATTTGCCTTCTCCTTCCATGCAGGGATATAATCCTATAACTTGTTAGTTCGTACATGCAGAGATACCTGACTGGATGGTGTTGCAGGAGAATATTCAACAACTGTATGGATTTTGGGATACATATATGTCGATGGATTATCAACATATGTATCTTCATCATCTTCCTCCCCTTGCACTACTTCAACAGAAGAAACTGAGATTGCCATGTTTTTGCTGCTCTCTTCCTTCTTTTGTGGCAGAATTGCAATCAAATTGGATAAATAGTTCTTTATTTCAGCTTTGGTTTTGTCAAATATCATTGAACCATTGCCAACAGTTACCACGTCATGGTTTATTTCATCTGAAATTTTGAGTTTTGGAG